CTAAACTTCAAAGTCACAGACCACTTTAATCAGAAATTTAATCAAATGTATGATATGTTATGTTGTTAATAACTATACCAAATGTGTACAAAAGTAACATCAAAAGAATAAGATGAAAACAACTCAACTTTTGTAATAAATTAAAATAATAAAATTAGACGTTGCTGTCAATTTTTCTAAACTTTATTCGAAGACAAAAAATGAGTTTATTTCACTTAATTAAAAAAAAATTTGGCTCTTTAGAATTTAAAATTACAAAAAACTAAATTGCTTCGACTAAAGTATCCAAAAACTTATTATACAAGGTGCCTAAAAAAGAGTGCACCAACTCAGTATGTATATGTTGTTGAGAAGTATGCAGATTACCTAAAAAATATTTAAAAAATTCTTGAGATATACACTTATTTTAAGTTTTTTAATCCAGATTATTAGCTCAAGTTTTAAATTTTACTTTAAGTAATCGTTTTATATTATTTCAATATCTAGCAGTATTTAAGTTTTTAAAAAATTATTTATTTAGGAAAAAAATACCGTTTGCAGATGTGACAACACTGTGTTTTAATTTTAGCTGTCGTTATGGTAACAATGATTATTTCCTGGGAAACTGTTACTGATGTTGCAAGAATAATTAATTTTTACTGTTGATCAATTAGTCAACGTTGTCACATCCAGTTTTTTAATGCGTTTTTTTATTAATAACTTTCTTAGATATACTTATTTATGTAATTATTTTTACCTTTTTACCTGGTAAACAGAAAGTATGAGACTAAACGTTTTTTATTTAAACTATTTATTTACAAAAAAATCAATAAATGAATCTAAGGTATGTGTGGGATTGCTTTTTTTGATATTATACTCAAAACCACAAATATTATATTAGAACTTTTGACTGATTTAGATCAGAAATACTATGGATGTACACTTAATAACGCGTGTTTATTTAAATTTTGTGTCATACTTGGCGGTGATATGAGTGTGTTGTAAACGGACCAAAATTAGATTAATAACTTTTAATACCATGGTTCGTTCACAATCGAACTTTCATGGAAAGCTTTGACGCCAAATTAAAAAGAAACACCCGATATAATAATATTATACAAGGTGTTGATAAAATCCACTATTGACCTTTCATTTTTGGTCAAAGTTCAGGCTGCAACGAGCTAACGATAGATAAATACAACATTTCCACGACATTTGCATTTTTCAAAATTAAATTAGTTTGATATTTTTTTTTAAATAAGGAATACATGTGTTACATCACAGAAAAAAAATGCTCTTCTCAAAAATATTAAATTTGACTTTTCTTGACATTAAAAAAAATCAAGTTAGCCTTGTATCCCTAGAACAAATGAAGATAGAAGTTTGATAAACATTTGAGACGATGAAATTTAAATATTTTTAAGCATATACCAAATTTCAATAAGTTTTGATAAATAGTTTTTAAAATATTTAATTGTATCTATACTTTTTAGCGACTCTGTATATGAAATAAATGAAATTAAAATAAATACTTAATAAACTAGTGCATTGTCTGATTATTTTCAACCATACAGATCTAAAAATGTTGATTTTTTTTATTTATTTTGATGTGAATAATTCGTATGGAGCAGCAATGTCGGAAGATATGTGTAAAAGTCCATCTTTCCCACCTTTACCCTATACTCCTGTGGTCGGCTAAAAGGTACCGTAACTCCTCTCAATTCATCAACAATTTCCTCTCCAAAGTAAACATTCCGCTCAATTCTCTCCTCATTGTTTATTATTTCGGAATTCTGTAGTTCTCTAGCCAGTGGTGTTGTTTTTCCCTCCCTTCTTTGTTCGTATATGAACCAAATTAAGCATTCAAAACGTTGCGATTCGTACATTATGCAAGTGAACTTTAAGCTTCAGAAAGCGAGTTAGACTGGATATAATTTGTATGAGTGCTTTGTCGGAAACTGTTCTATTACAGAACTCGTTAAGAAACTGCTTACAAATGACATCAAATTATAATCCACTTAACACACAAGTGCAATAAAATCTTCTTTTCGTATAAAACTCGCAATTGTTTAATTTTTGAGAGAGGAGTTTGCGAGTCTTTGACCGGATATTGCAAAGCCCTTTCATTATTTTGAAAGAAATCTCCTGAAACGAGGGACGATTTTATTCGCTCCACTGACGATAAAAACACCAAAGCCGATTTTTCAAATTTGATTAATGTAAAATTACCACCTCCAATTACACCCAAGCTTAATGAAAAGTAAACAGTGAGGCCAATTCTAAAAGACAACAGTTTAAATTAACTCGAGAAAAAGCGCCTCAATATTTCGCGTTGATATGTGACTGAAATCCGGAAGCTTTACTCAATTTCCGGGTAAATAAAATGTATTAAACCTGTAGTTGCTTTATTCTCCTCGCGAGTTCAAACGAAACTCAACCCTTTTGTTAAAAATTCTTCAAAAATTAGCTAAAAGCCCTGTTATTAAATCAAATATTCTGGAGTAATAAAGACAACTTTCTTCTCTTTGTTGGCTCTTGTTAATTTAATGAAGGAGGTAATTCTCCTCGAGCGGAAGCTCTGTGTTTTTCATTTTTTCTGTTTTATATAAAATACCAAATTTTACGTTTTCATAATTTAATAGTTGGTGCATTGTGGATGACGCGTCCCAATTTTGTGCAAGAGACTTCTAAATATTCAATAAACTCGTCCCCAGTTGTGACAGACCGAATTTAAAAATAGAATTAAGTGAAATATTTAAAGTCTTGTGATCGATTTTTTAATAAAACCCCTTGAGTCAGATTAGCAGATTCGTCTCCAAAGTTTCAGTCTCTCTAAAAGCAAATAACTGTGGATTTTAGTCGTGTTTACTTGCGTCGTAATTAAATATGCTTTTTTCGCTGAAAAATTGAATTTAATGCTTTCACCTTTCAGGGCGTAATAGAATTTTGCATGAAACATGCCCTTTGTCGAGCACATACGAATTTTTCAATTAGACTAATGGTTAATTGGAGAGCAAAAAGTTGGTGCGTTGTTGTCGCATTAAAATTTCAAGTTGTACATTTGTGATTCCCATCTGACGTCTCAAAGAAAAATATCAGTTGCTTAAATGAATAAATAAAAATTTCATATAAACTGTGCCTTTGAAGGAATCCATCAGAGAGCTTTTCAAAAATTCATAGAGCTTGTTCAGTGAGTTTTTATGGAAAACGGTGCAATGCAAAGACATCATTATTACTCGCGATTTATATGCACTTTTTCGCAGAGACAATGTTGCAAAAGAAAATTTAATTTGTCTGGAATTAATAATTGTGTCAAGGAAGACATCGGTAATGAAATTTGAAGCCGTTTCGCAAATAATCTCGCCTGAATTAGATTTTCAGGAACTAATAATCATCGGAGACGGCTGTTTCAATGCCACTGTCGTCATGTTTATGAAAACATGTCGCAAACAGTAAATGGCAGTCATAAAGACGAGATAAAGCAGAATGGAGGAATTGGGAAAGGGGAAAGTGGCTGCTATTTTTCATTATCAAGCTTTATTCAAAACAACTCGATTCTTACTGAAAGAAAACAGAAATGCAACAATGAAAAGTAAAAAAGTCTTTATCCGTCGCATGGCTTTGAAAAAAAAATAAAATTTGAATAGGATTTTAAAAAGACATGCTTTTTCATGTTTATTTTTATCAAATAAATATGTACTTAAAGCAATTTGAAACATATAGCATTTCTGTCTAAAAGTTTGACCTCAAAAGAACACTAAATATAATTTAAAATTTTTATTAAAATTTTCAAAAAAAAACATTAAATAAAAACCAGGAGATATGGACTTTGGAACTTAGAACCTTTCTAGAGTACTGCTAGACAAGGATAAAGCAACACCAAGATTCATTAGGCAAACAAAGACACGAAATAACAGACTACTACAATTTCAATTGCAGTGTTAATTTCAATTTTAATTAATTTTTAAATTTAAAAATTTATTTCCTTTAGATAATTCCAAGTAATTTAACGCAATTTTAAATAAGTTTCATTTTTGAGCTACAAACATTAAATGGTTTCAAAATTTTAGATTTCTTATACTTTTTTTACTAGATAAAAACACTAGTGATTGAGAATTTTATAAGATAAACAAAGATAAAAAGCTTTAGAGTATAAGATAAAGAAGGCTTAAAATTCAAATTCTGAGCGTTATTCGAAAGGTCGTGAACTTTATAAAAACTTGTACAAATAATTTCAGTTTTGAAAAGTATTCAAATTTAAAGTTTCTTTAATTTTAACTTAATTTCGACAATTTAAAGTAATTCAATGTAATTCGATTGTATTTTAAACGATTTTGGGCAACAATCAATAACTTACTTCAAAAAGTGTTCTTATTTTTTAAAATATTATGCAAGAATTAAAAATTTCTAATAATTTTATTGTCAAACAAAAACATAACTATTATAAAATTTCACTAAGCAAACAAAGACATGGAATAACAGACTTTTATGCCTACAAAGTAATTATCGATAGTAATTATGTAACACTTAAGAAAAATCCTATGGTTGCAGTAATTAATTTAAAAACATTTAGTAATTAATCAAATACGAGTAGTAACATAAATAATTCTAAATAATTGTATGTTAATTTTTTTGACCAAACTAAAGCAACAAAAATATATTTTTTCTCAATTTGAGAAAAGTTTCCCAGTTTTAATGTCATCTAATATATTATTACAAGTAATAAAATAATAAAATAGTCTTTAAAGACGAATCATTGCTGTTTACGGACGAGGCGAAGCCGAGTCCGCAAAACTTTTTAGGTATGTGTTACAAACAACATTTTTGTTAAAGCTCCAAAAAACACATTCACACCTCCTATTATGTTAAAAATTTTCTCGAAAATAGTTGTTAAAAAAAGTACTTACCTAAAAGAACTAATTTACGTACTGTTCTATTATAAAAATAGTATATTATGTTATTAGAAGTAAAAGCGAACGTTTGAACTGAGCCACATAAACTCACTTTTACCCCGAATATAAAGAGCAGCACTATAATAAGCAAGTAAATGAACAAAATAATCAGGACGCAAGTAAGGAAATCATAACAACGCTTATAAACAAACATCACGCTCAAGTTTCGTAAATTGTGTTGAAATTTTTAAAATATTTATTAACTTAATTAGTGCAGTTAGTAGTGCAAATTGTCGAATGATGATGATCTGCAATGTATCTCTCTAGAAGTTGCTGAAGCAATAAGAGAGATGAGAAAAAAACAACATTGTCATGGTAAAAGTAAAAACGCTTAGGCGCAAAAATGGCTGAAAGATAGTCATAAAAGTGGTCACTTTTGAACCCGGTAAAAATTTATTATTTAAAGGTTGTTTCTTTAATTTTGGATCAAAAACCACACAGAGTTTTTAAGAAATTATATAAAAATCTAGGACTACTAAAAAAACATAAATAGGCAAAAGTGTCTTCTATGTAAAAAAAATTTCTACGACCAAAGATTGGGATTAAATAAAATAATTATTTAATGTTAAAAAAAAAACTTGAGTAACTTTGTAGTGTGTATTTTCTCATATAGAGAGCGCTCTAGAAATAAATGGAAAGAGAAAGCTCTTTTGGAGGTTCAGAATATTATTTTTAAATTTTATTTCAGGAATATTAAAAAATAACAAAGACACAATTTTGAAATTGAGAAACTTTGTACTGTTGCTCTGAAGAAAAGAATAACAATTTTTTTTAACATCTTGTAACTTTTAAATAAAGAACTAAATATTTTTTGTTTTTAATTTTCGTTTTTTTATATTAAAATAACGAGAATTATATAAAGTTTAGGACGAAAATAAACAAACAAATGTCTGGATAGTAAAACTTTTGCTTATGATATTTAGTCATAAAAGTAGTCACTTTTGTGGCGTTTGTGGATAAAATTCATTTTAAAAAGTCTTTAAATATCTATTTTTGGAAAATTGTTCTTTGAAAAAAAGTTTATTTGTTGCAGTAATAATATCCGGAGTGTCCGGAAATGGCTCTCCAATCCGTTGAAATGCAAGTTATTGAAATTACACGCGCAACGAACCACGTTTATGTGATATTCTGTCCCTAATAAATGCCTTTGCTCTCCCGATAATGAATTTAGCGTCCAGTGTGAAACCTAATCGTCCTAATCTCACATTAAATGAATTTTTCCGGACACAAAGTCATAAATAGAGCCGTTGTTTGCTCCTATCAAATAATTAATAGCTTAAGTAATTTTCTAGTCGTTTCCTTTGATCACAAAATAAACATTTAATTAGTTAGTGCAGCAGAATAAGACGCCTCAAGCGTTACCAATTAATTAATCGAATGGGAGAAAAATCCGAACTAAATTTTTCCTGTAATTAATGGCTAATTATCGATCGACGTAATGAAATTTTGCCACTATAATTAGCGAGGCTTGAATGAAATAAGGGTTTTAATTTTATTATCACCAATTATCACTTCTCTTCTTTTGGACTTACCTGTGTCGAGAGTAGAACAGCTCGAATGCACTCGAAAATGATTTCTGATCTCTTATCAGGGGTTGGGGCGTAGATTGTGATAACGTAGGTGATGCCCAACAAGGGCATAAGTACGAGAAGGGCTTTGGCTGCTTTGTGGTACTGCTGGGTTTCCACCGTGTTGGCAGAGCGGAGTTTGGTGATGAGGACCCACATGATGGCCAGCAGGAAGGCCAAGTTCAGCAGGAGGACCAACATTGTGGGTCCTTGGAAAATCCAGTCCACGTCGTGACTGTTGAACCAAGTGCACTGGAAATGTTTTCATACAGGCTATATTATGAAAAACGCCCCAAGCCATAATTCCATTATTTTTAAAGTTATGACAATACTTCTTAGAACAAACTTGAACTTTTTTTATCATCTATCGTTTAGGATAGATGTTAAATTAATGCTGTTTTCTGTTTCACCGGAAATCACATCAACTATATTTTTTTTAATGGAACACTCTGTATATTCTACCACTTTTGGATTCTTTGTTTAATTGTCTTTTAATAAGTTTTAGTACTATATGCCTAAAACTAACCGTTCGTGAGATATTCACCAAATAATGTATTTATTAAAGTAGGCAGTGGAAAACAATAATATCAAGTAATGTTGACAAATATTATTCTTTTGCATTTTCTCTTACTGTTTTTATACTTTTTAATGTTAATCATGGATGATAATGTGTTAACAGACATATTTTGAATAAAATAAAAATTGTGGGAGAGCACTACGCTTTTTTTACACTGGGTGATTTCTGATGAGTAAAGCTCGGATTATATGCAAAATGCATGTTTGTTATTAAGAGGCATATCAAGAAAATTGTAAGTTTTCTATGCATATCTAATATTTTTTGATTAAAATAAACCAAAAAAATGCACAATTTGCATATTTTGGCAACTTGGTGCATATTTTAGGAAATATCGCATATTTGTGCATATTTTCTTCAAATAACTAATTTCCGATTAAAAATTTCAGTTCAAGTTAAAAATTGGACAGTTTACGAAAAATGATCCGATTACAAAATATTTTAAAGAGAAAACAACCGGTAATTCGTAAGCAAAACTCAAAAAATTAGTGCCCTGCTGAGTGTTTCCTTTTTAAATTCGTTTTATACTGGGTGAATATAAAGTATTGAACCAAGCAGATTTTTTTTAAATCATTTGTTTCAAAAAAATATTAATTAATATAAACTAAAGTAATATAAAAAACGATCTTGTTTTAAGAACAAAATTTTGTTTTGTTTTTGAGTTATTCGATTGTTGTTGTCTAAATTGCGATATATGTAAAAATCATGACTTTTATGAAAAAAATGTTTTTTTTTGGTGGGTTGCCATTTAAAAAAATTAATATTTTTGTAGAACTCAAAAACAAGATAATAAAAATTTCGAAAAATTTTATTTTTTCATAAAACATGACATTTTTATAGAACTTTATAATTCATCAATTAGTTTTTTTCAAAAAATAAATACTTTAAGCAAAAAACGTTTGGTTCCATAGTTTCCACCTGGTATAAAACGAATAAATCTTTGCATGCGGATAAGTAGTTGCCTACAAATGAATTTTAGCAAAATTGTTTAAGTGATGTGATCTGAAGAGGACAGATTTCTTAGAAAGGGTTAATTACTAGGTTATTAAAATTATAAAAATTAAAAATTTATTTATTCTTTCATTTATCATGTGCAGTCCAAGATGACAAAAATACAAAGTTTAGTGTATTCGAGGATAAAAATTTATCCCAACTTTGATTTTTCATTGTTAAAAATTTTGCATATCGATGCATATTTGGCATATATTGAAGCATATTTCTTAATATTTTGTGCATATTTTTGTGAAAATACGTGCATATACAGGCTGTCCCAGAGCTCCGTATTTCTTCGATTACTCTGACAGTAAAGAAGATAACGAAATGCGGTTTCTTTTGAACGATAGACATTCATTTTTTCTATGGTCCAAAAATATTTTCGTCATTGTAAGTACTTCCTACATAGGGTGGCGCAACAAAGTTATATTTTTTCTTATGGAACACCCGGTATATTATGCGCTTATTTGAAAGAATTTTTAATTCTAAGAATATCCATATTAGGTTTTATGGGTCTATCATGGACCGTTTATCATTTATGGGCAATTTTATGAGAAAAAAGTACCATTTTTGAAAAATCACAACAGCTTTGCTAGAAAGAAAAAGTGAATAAAAACAATTGCAACCATTTTTACTGAGTCAGGTTCTAAATTATTATGGTTAAAATTCTATCAATCTTTTGCAACTACTGCAGAGTGTTGACATTCGCAAAATATCAAGTAACTTGATTTTTTCAAATGAAACACCCMGTATATTATTACTTTATCGTGTAGAGCTTTTAWTAWGCTTTCTAAAAAACRTAGGGTTTGGAGGTRTAAACTTTACCTGTTTTATTGTACACCCTTGWAACATACCAATTTTAARTTATTCTATTTAGCCTCAAAAATCAAGTAGGTTTGCGTTACTTCCTCTCCTAAAAAAGTTAATTTTTTAAAGTTACGTTATCACCATACATCAATAAAGTTTGTTAGAGAATGTAGAATTATTTAACTTCAGCATGATGGAAGCTCCTGTTCATTTTTGTCGAATTGTGTGACAATTTTTAGCAACAGATTTCGTAATCGTTAGATTAGGAGGGGAGAACTATTGTCTGGCCACGGCAATCTCCAGATTTTACTACAATTGATTTCTTTTTATCGGGGTGTGTTGAAAAGAAGGTGTATCAAACAAGAACCACCACTCCAAATGACATGGAAAAAAGAATAATTGAAGTCTTTAATAACATCTCTGTTGAAATGCTGAGGGCAATCAAACTTTTCTTTATGCGTAGACTAGACGTCTGTCTGACGAGGAATGGCAGGATTTTTGAATATTTGCTATAGAATTAATTAAATTTTGAAATTTTTATAATCAAGGTGTTGCATTGAATTCAAATTCCAATTAGCGTTTCTTGAGTTTTACTCAGTATTTCAATAAACAACCTGTTTTCTTAATTGATGTATGGTGATAACGTAACTTTAAAAAATTATCCAATTTTTTTAGAAGAGGAAATAAGGCAAACCTACTTGATTTTTAACGCTAAATAGGATAATTTAAAATTTTGTAGGTTTAAAAATGTGTACAATAAAATAGGTAAGATTTAGAACTCCAAACCCAAGGTTTTTAGAATGCTTATTAAAAGCTCTACACGATAAAGTAATAATATACAGGGTGTTTTATTTGAAAAAATCAAGATAATTTACATTTTACTAATGTCAATACTCTGCAGTAATTGCAAAAGATTTATTGAATTTGTATCATAATAACTTAGGACCAGACTTAGTAAAAATGGTTGCAATTGTTTTTATTCACTTTTTCTTTCTAGCAAGGCTGTTGTGATTTTTCAAAAATGGTAATTTTTTCTCATAAAATTACCCACAAATGATAAACGGTTCATGATAGACCCATAAAACCTAATATGTATATTCCTAGAATTAAAAACTCTTTCAAATAAGCACATAATATACCGGGTGTTCCATAAGAAAAAATATAACTTTGTTGCGCCACCCTATGTAGGAAGTACTTACAATGACGAAAATTTTTATTTTATGAATTTTTCGTGCATATAATCCGAGCCTTACTGATGAGAGACGTTCCAAATCGTCGAAAATTTAAGCGACTTAAAGAAAATTTGAGGATGTTTTAGGCTTTTAGAAAACCCAAATTAAAACATCTCCAATTTCAAAGAGATACAGAATTAGATAGGTAATGAAGAAAATGCAAGAACATGAATTCAAGAAATTGCAAGTAACGGTGGCTTATCGCACACAACTGTTTTAATTTGAGTTTTCTAAAAACACCAAACATCCTCAAATTTTCTTCAGGTCGACGAATTGGAACTTCTCTTTTTGGAAACTGCCCAGTGTAAAGGCGTTGTGGTCTCCAACTATTTTTATTGCTTTCAAAATATTCTTGAATCATGTCTGTTAACACATTATCACCAAAACACCAAAAAGTACAAAAATAATAAGAGAAAATGCAAATTAATAATATTTGTCAACATTACTTAATATTATTGTTTTCCACTGCCTACTTTAATAAATTTTTAATTGACTCATATCTCACGAACGGTTGGTTTTAGGCACATGTTACTAAAACTTGTTAAAAGACAATTAAACAAAGAATCCAAAAGTGGTAAAATATACAAGGTGTTCTATTAAAAAAATAAAGTTGATGCCATTTCCGGTGAAACAGAAAACAGCACTAATTTAGCATCTATCCCAAACGATAGATGACAAAAAATGTTCAACTTTGTTCTAAGAAGTATTGTCATAACTTTAAAAGTAATAGAGATATGGCTTGGGGCGTTTTTCATAATACAGCCTGTATATTCGGAAAAGTTTCGCGTTGAATAAAACATTGCTTGTTTGTGTAATTGGCAAAGAATGAGCAATTGCAGGAAATTGAAAGGTTACTGCAGGAGCGGTGATGAGATTATTGCTTCTGACAAGAAGTTCGCTCTTGCTCTTGATTCCGACTTCGATATTTTTAACGCAAAAGCGTCATAACTTTGAAGATTGCTCCGCTTTGTAGTAAACTCGAGATTAGAAACTTTGAGTTCATAAATTAGGGCGAGCATCATGCCAAATTCTTGTTGGCAATGGTTGGGGTAATTTTTTGATCGCGTGTCATAAGCAATTGGATGGGTTTTATTGCAAAACTCTTGAAATAGTTTACAAGAATTCCACGGCCCACAAATATTCAGATTGTTTTATTATTTTCAAAATTTATATACTACGTGGCAAATAAATTACAACTGAAATATTTTTTCTGGACACTAAATACCCAAAGTTTTTTTCGAAAAATCGAAAATTTTAAAATTACACCAAATTACGTGTCTTGCACTTTGAATAGTTCAAAGAGTGCATAAAATATTATTGGGTTGAGTTTAAAAAAAATTGTTGAGAAATGATAGATCAACTTTTTGACGCAAAAATGCTTAACATATGGTTTTCTAGACGAAAAATTACGCGTTGAACACGTTGCAAGAAGTTAAAATGCTCTACGATGCATAGTTTTTGAGATATTGAATAAGGCTAGTAGCATGAGCACTATATCCGATTCTGATCAAAAAATCAAAAATTTTTTATTCTTATAAAAAACTAGTACTATAGAGGGTGCGCTAGAACTCGCGCCCCAAAGAAAAAATTCAAGTAAGATAAGATACTACGAACATAAAAAAAATGTTGAAAAATCCTCTGTCAAAAAATTTTGACATTTGACATTTTTTTATGTTTATTTGATGATACTGATGATCTTGTATATGCTTTTTTAACAATTATTTAATAAAGGTTAAAAAAAAATAGATACAGCTTCTTTGTTTCCTCTTCTAACAACCTGTAGCAAAAAAAGTATTTTTCCAACAAAAATGAATAGAGCCAAAGTGCAAGATTTAAACTCTCATAACTTTGAAATTTTTATAGATAATACATAACTTTTAATTTTTGAAGTTCTTCATTTTTATATTAAATTTGTCAATTTTTTAACAATTTTTTTTTCTTTTTCCAGGTAAATTAGATGTTTTAGGCTTCCAAAGTCAATAAAACACAATTTTTTGTATTTTTTAAAGGTTCCAATTTTTGCCCTTCTACATCACATGGCACAGTTTCAATGTCATGTAGTTTACTATTGCATAATAAAATGTAGTTTTTTCATTATTTTTCGACTTCTAGATTCTTAACAATTTTTTTTGTTTAACATTGAATCAAATCTTTCATTTTTGAATTTGTTTTTTTAGTTTTTTTTTCAAATTGGACTATATTTTTTCAGAATTTATTGTTTTTTTCATATCAATTAAAGGATTTAGATTTTTTAATCAGTATAAAACCCAACTTTGTGTATCTGTTGTTCTTTATTTTTCAAGTTTTGGTTAAGTTTTTTCCATTATCTCTCAAATGTCACATTTTTAAGGTTGTGTAGTTTATTATTTCATTGCTATTGAAAATAACACAATTTTTTTTTAATTTCTATAACTCCTCGATCATTTTTTAAGAGAATTTATTTTTTTTAACTAATTATATTATTATAATTATTGT